AATTAAATTATGGTTCAAGCTTGGACATTGCATTTTTGTTATTAACGATTCTAAATATTATTTAAATGATCAGAAAATGAGATCTAAAATGAGGTAAAATTGGTTAAAAGTTCCAGTTTATAACGGAAAGATTTGTTCAGAAGTTCTAAAATGGAGAATGTAGAATTCTGGAATTTATTTAACAGCACCCAGGCTCTCGCTTCTGCTGAGAATGTTAGAATTATAAAGATGAGCGTTTTCGCGGAGAGAGTTTATCGCAAATTTAGCAACCTGGATACGCGCCTGATGGAATCCTCGAGTGGGTCCAAACATTCTTGCATGCGCGCGCGATTCCGCCGAGATGCGCTCTCTTTTCTCCGAGCGGCTCTTTTAAAAAAAGCTGCCGGAAACTTGGCATTTAAATTTCTCCTGCTATCGCAGGGAGGTTATTCCACCGCGTGCTGGAACGTAGGCTCGCTTCGTTTACCTCTCACGATTATTGCAGAGAACAAGAGGACTCTCTCATATGAGGCATTCCGCGCCACTGCTACACTCACGTGACGATATTAATATTGCCGCCTCGCGATATTATATTAATCTAGAGTGTATGTACGTCGGAGCGCACCACATGACTCCCATGGGACGCGGGAGACCATCGAGATGATTCCGGGAGGTCGTAAAAATTCTAAGTGAACCTCTTCCGTCCTTTAACAGTGCCATGCGCAGGATCGTTTGAAGTGTACGATTACTCGCGTTACGATAGCATTTCGTATTCCTGGAATTTATATCGTGAAAATATGGAAATTCAATTCATATAGAGGATATCGTAAATACTCGGATAATCGACGATCATAGAGTGCATCGTGTTCCGACAATTTGTTATTTATCATAATCGACGTTTTCTCGCGACTCGTTATTTAAATTTGGAATGTGCATAAAAATTGCACACCCACATATACTTCCACTGACATTATTATATAGCAAGTAGATGCTTGACAGAGATATACGAATATTTATTTTATATTTATTTTTTAATAATTACTTAAAAATAAATATATACGTTTAGGTAAAACGTAAGCGCAATTATTTTCTAATGTCTTGGAAAATTAATTTATATAATTAAAAATTTTATTTAATCTTGACTCTTCAGCTCCATTATTATTTTTATACTTTTATTTTTATCGCGTTGCATTTCCTAACATATGTATATGTACAAATATAAACAAAATTTTTATTACATTCTCTCTCATGTAAGCGATACATAAACTTTTACGCGCTTGAAATTGAACACAAAAGCGCGTAAGATATGTTGATTTCAGCAACGTTATTTCTCTCGCCATTTTCCCTTCTCTTTTTCGGTCGGTATTCAAATGAATATTGCAGTTGCGCAGGAACGCGCTCGTATATAAAAGTGTGCGGAGACTTGTTTGGGGCAGCCAATAAATTATATCTGGCGTCATAAAAAACTTTCAGAAACACCAACGCGAATATTTGCTCTCTTATTCTTCTTGCACCCTATTCTCTTATTCTTCCTGGCAATCAACGTAATTGATGAAAGGACTTTCCACTTTTCAGTGCTTTATATGAACAACAAAAACTTATATATCGCGCATATATTCTACGTGCATTATAATACATCTAAAACATTTTTATAATATAATATAATAAAATAAAAAACTTATATAAACGTGTAAATATTTTTGCTTCATGCTCCTTGTACTGTACTTTTCATAAGATATAAAAAGTCTTATATTGCAAAATACTTCTATATATCATTTTTTTTCTTAAGAATGCATAGTCTGCCTACCTTATTAGCGTTGTAAATGGCACTGCAAACATAAAGGTGACTGCTGGCTATCGCGAAAATTGAAACAAACGCGGTTATCACGCTTCGTGTAACGAATGTCAGTTGTCGCCTGTCGGAGACTCGCTTTATCGACAAAAAGTGTCACGAGAAGCCGACGATTTACGAGCAAGATTGGTATCGGCGAAACAAATGGTATAACGGCAGACTGATTCGCCAGAAAGATTCCCCATGAAGCCTGTAATTCGCTCACAGTTGCGCAAAATTCTAACTGAACTTATTTAAAATTTGCCACTACAATGCATTTTTTGCACCAAAGCTTGCTGAATGTCAACGCTTCTGATAAAAAACGGCAGAAAAGTGATTGCATTAAGAATTACGCTATAACGAGGTAAATTTCTTTTAAACTCTTTCAAATTATATCTATTCGTTTATATTATAACTCTCTATAACCATTTTTTTGTCTTGAGAGTGCTTTTAATTTTGTGGAATTATCTATACATTTATATATACAAAGAGATTTTTAATTATATGATCTATTTTTTATTTTATTCTTCTGCTTTTGGCAATAATCTTATGTATTATTATATCAAACATTTTAATTTTTCCCTTTTTTTTTAATTAATTCTATATATAATTCTATTCATCTAATTTATTGAACTCATTATTTAAGCTGCCTTTAATAACTCATTATAACTTTAAACATTAAGATTCACTTCATTATTTACTTATCCATATAAAATCTCTAATTTATTAAACTTTTATTACAAATAAAATTATTTATTTAAATTATCGGTTTATTTTAAAAAATATTTAATTCAATACATTATATATATATATATATATATATATATATATATATTACCGAGATATATATATATATATATATATATATCGGTAAATAAAGCCAAACGCGATGTTATTGCGAAAAATTGCGAAAATAAATTTTTTCGCTAATTAGGAACTTAGGAATTAGTATCTCATGAGATCTCTAATTTCCGTATTCCCCTTTTAACCCCTCTGTAAAGAAATAGGCGAGAAAATCGGGTTCCCGATTCAGCCGACTTTCAGACCGATATTTTTCTCGCCTATTAAGAGAAATACGGGAATTAGAGATCTCAATCATAAGATACTAATTCCTAAGTTCCTAATTAGAGAAAAAATTAATTCCCGATTCAGCCGACTTTCGGACCGATATTTTTTTCGCCTATTAAGGGGAATACGGAAATTAGAGATCTCAACCATAAAATACTAATTCTTAAGTTCTTAATTAGCGAAAAAATTAATTTTCGCAATTTTTTGCAATAACATCGCGTTATATATATATATATATATATATATATATATATATATATTTATATATTTAAATAAGATATATATATATTTTTTTTTCTTAATTTTGATGTATTCTACAATATATATATATATATATATATATATATATATATATATATATATTATGTATTTATTTTGAGAGCCGATATAATATTCTTAATATTTAATTGAAATTATTGACACCAAAAGATAACAACAAGTATAAAAACTGTCTACGAAAAACATCAAACATTATTTCAATCAAGTTTGATGAATGAATACCAATCAACAATAACGATTCTGGATTATTTCCTAAGAATATATAACATATTGAACAATTTTGTGGAATTTCTTGAGTAAGTAAAGTTTTCTTTATCTCTCTTTTTATTATTTTATAATTTTTGCTTTATTTTTTATATTGCGTGCATTATATGCATCAATCGAATAAAAAAAAAGAGTATCATGATAAATCTCGTTTCAGATTTCGTGGATTCAACTATTGTCATATTTATTATAAAAAAATACCATTGGAAGAAGCACTAGAAATATCAAATAAAATTATGGAATCAAGCATTCATGAGAATCTGTTCAAACGAATAATAAAACGATCAGGTCTATTCGCAGATGCTTTTCGTAATACACACTGTTTATCGACAGATATATCAGAAAAAATTGCGAATGAAGTAAGTATAACAAATAAAAAATTATTAATCAATATAGGTTAACTAAAGATGTTTTATATGTTATATGTTATTTTATACAAAATTGTGTATAAATTTTTCAGATTAAAACTACGATAAAACTACATCTCACACAATTGTCGAAAATAAAAAATGGTTCAATACAGATGGAATCTATCTTTGCGTTAGCTGATTTATCATGTATCCCTGGATCCAATAAACTTCAAATTTTATCTGAATTATTAAATAAAGAAGCAGAAACTACGACACGCTGCGAACAAATCGCTAAAGGTATTTTTCATACAAGATAAAAACAGGATATCGTAAAATCTATATGTATGTGTATGAATGTATGGGTCTATGTATACGTTTATATCAACAATTTATTTTATCAAAGATAAAAATAGCTATTAATTCAAAGAAACTGTTTCTGTAATATTTAATTAATAATTTCAATGTTTCAAATTTAATTTTTATAACACGTTAAATTTTCTCTATAAATTGAAAATCGTCTATACAATAATGTCTTGCAATATATATATATATATATATATATATATATATCGTACAGCGATAAAAATAAATAAAATGCTATTTGTTGCCCAAGTCTCAACTTGTATAATTTATGAAAAAACAAAGTAATTCTGTTTTAATGCTTAATAATATTGAATTTGATAGATTTATTCGGTATACAGTAGTTGACAATTATTTAATTACTTGTTTAATTATTTAAAATATGTATAAATATGTATAAATATTTAATATAATAGTTTCATGTGTTATATATATATATATATATATATATATATATATATATATATATAACACATGAAACTATTATATTAAATATTTATACATATTTTAAATAATTAAACAAGTAATTAAATAATTATCAACTACTGTATACCAAATAAATCTATCAAATTCAATATTTAGCATTAAAACAGAATTACTTTGCTTTTTCATAAATTATACAAGTTGAGACTTGGGCAACAAATAGCATTTTATTTATTTTTATCGCTGTGCTTCCTAATTTACAAGAGATAGCATTTTTTCACGATGCTTTTCGCATTGCATAAAATTCTTGTAATATTGCAGAACTGCCGGCGCATATTCAGACAAAAACTCTCTTAAATCTCGCAAGTAATTTTATTCGCGAATGGGGAGAAAGACCATGTAAAACGCGATCCCATTTCAAAATTTGCAAATTCTGTGACAGTATTATGAACGACGGGACTCAGCAATACGAGGTATAAAAGACGAATTATCAACATAATAGAATACAAGAGAGTTTTTTTCCTCTTTACATTAAAATTTATATTTGTGAGAATATTCTTTTTATTTGCATATAAAATTTATTTTAGGAAAAATTTTGCTGCGTCGAAGCAGAGCATTTCGATCGATTATTGAAGAAATGGCTCTCGTTACACATGTCACAAGTACTCTTTATTTCACTCATGAAATTATATTTATATGCTACAGATTCACTTATCATTATCTTTTTGTAGAATACATCAAAATTAAAATCTATCAATCCTACCAAAGTCGAATACAAAATCAATTATTTAGACGAGAGTATTTTGCAAGAAGATGATTCTCCAAGAGTCGATAACACCACTAATGTAAAACCACAATTAGTCTTTACTACTGAAAATGACACAGCGACACTCGAGGATCACTACAGAAATCACATTAACTCGCGATCGAGGACATATTCGAATACTTGGAAGAAATTACATGACAGACGTCAACGTAACATTCTAAATGCTCCAGAAGAAGTCGATTCGAGGAAAGCTAAACGTTTCGAAATGGGTCAGCGTGCCGGAATCGCCACTGATCAATCGGAAGCGAATAACAATAATGATTCCCTTCGGCACAAAAATGCAAGAACGCCCGCCAGTGAAGCACGTAGCGCAGAGGACCATATAAGAAATACCGGCGCAGAAACGGAAAAAATACGCGAAGAACGTGACAATAATCCGTATCAGCGCAAACTCGACGAGGTCGAAGATAAGGACCGGCAAGATCGCCGTTCGACTCAACGTGACGTGCAAGAAGAAACGAACAGATCGTGGATCGTGGCTGGAAAAACACGAAAAGATGAAGATACGGCGGAAGAGAGCAGCGAGAATTCCGGTGAGAATCCTTATCAACATCGTCGCGAGACGCGATTGCTGGATAACGGGAAGATCGGCCGATTGGATCGGTTCGAGGAGAGGAGCCCTTCAACGGAGACATCGGGGAATCCGGCGAAAAGGCCTGAGGAAGGGAATCGACACGAAAACGAGGAAAACCCGACCGCGCGAGGTAGGAAGAAAGAAGGCGAGGATAAAGACAAGAAGGAAGGAACGATGCTCCTAAATAAGAATAAAGAGTCTGGAAGTAGAAAAGCGACGGTTTCGCTTGACAACGCGAAAGAGGGACGCTTGGCCGTTAATGAAGAGGGAAAACTTCCTACAAATGGTGAACAACGCAAAGCTGCTTCAACCGAAAGAAGATACGATCCTGAGGAGGCGGGAAAATGGAGAGTTAATAGCAAGTGTCTACAGATATTTTTATAAAAAAAAAAGAAACATTGCACAGATTACGAAAAAATATTTTTTTTAGTTTGATTAAAAATTAAATTTCTCATATAAAACTACAAATAAAGAAAGTACCTTACTAAAGTTAACTGAAATCACTCCTGGTATTGTGCTTTTCTTGTGCTACCGCATTTAATCGCATTATCAATCGCGTGAAATGCAATGTGGTCGATTCTCGTTAACAGATTCCAGTTATGGGAAATTACTGTTTTGCAGACCCTTCAAATCCGATCAAGTATCAATTATCGAACCCACATTTTGTGGAACTTGGCTGGACTCTGCTGCCGGCTACCAAAATCATGAGAAAGATCGTACAGTATGAAGCCAAACCGGCAAAACCCAATCTAAACTGGTAGGTGATATTTAGATAAATTTATAGTATCTATAAAATATATCTATAAAAAATGTAAATATAAAGTATGTAAATAATACAAGCAAGCTTGCATTTGTATACTATAAAATACTAAAAATTATTAAATCTAATATCACAAGATTTTATATAAGCAATATAATAATATTTAAAAATTAATTTATACAATATATATAGATTATATATTAAAAATAATATGTATTAAAAACAAATATTAATAAAGATAGTCCGATATTGTCCGTAATCAAATAAATTTGCTAATTTATATAATATCGGACTATCTTTATTAATATTTGTTTTTAATACATATTATTTTTAATATATAATCTATATATATTGTATAAATTAATGTTGCTAACACTAAATTAAGTAATTAGAAAGCAAACAAGCTGAACACTGATTACATTACAGTCAATTTCGCAAAAAAATTCGTAATTATTTAGTTACTAATGAGTAAACAATTAGGTCGAATGAAGCTGATCAAGTACCATTGCAAACGAGCATGATTTTTAACATTTTCTCATTGCTCTTTAACAATTTAAATTATATAATATTTCGTGATTAACCACTGAATAATTAAGTAATTCATCTGTATATTAGGTTCAAAAAATACAGACACAAAGGTATGAAATATTATGAAGATGGATTGACACCATTTTTGAAATTCCATCCCGATGGTTCCGGCGAGTTATTTTATCCCAACGGCATATTAGCTATTAGAGTTTACAAACCAGAAAACCGGAAATGTAATTGAGTTATTTACATAATGCTACTTACAGAGTATTCCATCACTATTATCTCCATAATATGTTTTATCTATACATTTTTTAACAGATTTCGCATATTTAAAAAAAAAATAAAACAAATAAATTAAATAATAATTTGTTTAACTTGATGCATTAAAAATTACATAACAATTAATTAAATATTAAATAGATTTTTATTACATTATCAGAATAACAACTATAAGATTTGGATTATATTATTAAAATAACTTTTCATTGATATGTCACATATGAATTTTTAATCATTCATATCTAGGTAAGTAAAATTGTCACATATATTTTTGTCCATTATCTAATTAATATTTGATAATTCTGGAGCACTCTGTACTGTGGAGCATATTGTATCTACTTATGCATACCATTTACACAATACACTACGGTACAATTTCAAAGTTATCATCCATCGAAAAATTAAATATAAATATAAAAAGTAATAGTGATATTAAAAATACAAATTTTTGAAAATTACATGGAAAGTACAATTGTTAAATTGGATTAATGCATTTTCGACTGGCGACGATATCCATACTCATAAATATAAATTTCAATTTACTAAGAAGACCGGCCTTCGGGCGGACTTAAAAAATCACTGGTATCGATTTTAAGACGACATGTGTACTGTGTTCACGCCAGGAGGCAAAGACGCATTGGGGATCGGAAGAGGACCCCAGATCTTGGCGATATTCGACACTTTGGGATACGGTGTCGTTTTCGACGTGGACGGCGCGGCGAGGTTCGTGTGAAAAAAAGAATTTACAAAGAATGTTTAATTACTGTCGAGCCTCTTCTCGTTCGACCGATTCACGCGATTCCAATTACTTCCGCAGGCTGTCCTATAACCAAATCGGAGGAATTTTTACGGACAATCCCGCGGGCCTGCCCCTCATTTGGACCTGGAATGCCAAACCCAGAGAGTCGATACTCGAGACTGTGTACACGGTAGGTATGAACGCGTTTACCAGAGAGTTTTTCCCACTTTTCTCCACGCGTATAGATTTTCGATCAATCATGAATAAGCGAACGGAACTAAAACTTTTCATCTTCCTTAACTTTTCCATCGGATTACGGATTACGGATTGAAAATATGCGAAAGCAACCTTTATATATGTACATATATATACGTCGTTCTTAAGTTTTGTAAACAAAGTAACTTGAATTTATCCAAACGATTTAAAAAGTCTTTTGTAAAAAGAGTAACGCGAATAGTGAGTGCCGTCGATATTTCACGCAAAATTTAGTATTCCGAAAGGCTTTTATCGATACATTATATGAAATGAACGAAATAAGCTTTTTCCTTTTTTTTTTCCTCTGCAGGAGAGACCGACCGACTGGTTGCAAATGGAATTTTTCTCCGCGACAAATAAATCAGCGAAAAGGTGAGTCGAGGGTTTATATACATATATATAGAGTAGCGATATTTATGCGCGGCACGTTCCGGTTACGTTTGGTTGGATCCGCACAGTTCCGGAAATGTTAAGACACCGGTATCACCGTCTAGCTCGAGAAATAAGGAAAAGAAGGTCGTCGAGGTGCAGAAACCTGTTGTCGAGGAACGACAAGAAGAGGTCGGAAACAAGTATGTCAAGTAAAAAAGTAGAGCGAATTCTATCCGAACAAAGCATTCTAATTATGCGATACACTACTTTCCTGGAGATAAATTACACCAGTGTTTCACTAAGAGAGCGCATCATTTAATTATTATCCTACTCGAAATAAATATACATCTAACTTATGAAAATTCATATAAATTGTTGTGAGAAAGCTTTATTTATTAATTATAATTGCAGAATACTTGTACTTGTAATCCACTAATATTTCCAACGTAATAATAAAAAAAAATAAAAAACAAATATATATATATCATTCTGCAATTATAAATAATAAATTATCGATTATTTTTAGATCGAACGGCAACCAAGATTTTTCTAAAAAGAACATTTATCACTTAAAAGTGATTTGCATGAAATTGAATGAATTTCTTAGCTTGCGAATCAGCGATCAAAAAAACATCAGTTTACGATTTTCTGCTAAAAATAGAAACTTTAGGTATTGCTATTATTTTAATCGAAATATTTATCTCGAAAACGTTCGTTGTTATTATTTTCTAATTTTCCTTGCTAATCATTTCGATTTTTTATTTTAGAATAGAATTGGGGACAATTTTGAATTTTAATAAAGAAATAGCATCTTCTATGATAGAAGCAAGCGATTGGAAAAACGATATGCTAAGGTACAAGCCAATAATAAATCAAGCAAATTTCAAAACTGTTATAAAAATGATGTTGCAGGTGTCGATTCCAGGATAATTTGTCCAAAACATTGAAATCGGATAACAGTTTGTACGATTTAGCTAAGGAGTATCGAAAAGTGAAAAAATTTGCGAAGCAACGTAAAGTTATGATTGCCAAATACAAACCTTTCTCCAAGATGGACCGTGTCTTCACTCGTTGTAAATTGAAGAACTAGTACCGGAAGCTATATATAGTTGAAGAAATGTGTTTCTCAAAGAATATTGAAATTTTTTTCGTTGTTTCAATGTAATGTAAAGGATGTATAAAAGGTGGTTTAAGGCTAAGAGAGTGACGCAGATTTTATATAAATAAAAATGATCATATGTAATTAAAATAATTCTCAAACAATTAATTGTTATCGTAACGGATGTTCGTGAATACACATTTCTCGCGCTGGTATAATAACGCATAACAACACACATTAAATACATGTGCGATGTCATACGTCACACGTGTACATACAATACATTGTCAGTATGTACGAACGTTTGTGTTGTATATGTATGCATGTATGTATGTATGTTTATGTATACGTGTGTGTGTGCTTAAGACACATACGTAAAACATATTCCCAATTTCCGGGAATATTCCTAGACGGATAACTTAAATACTAAGCGAAGTAGGAAGGATCATACAATTTTGATCAATAAATTAGGTTAGATCGATCCGGATGTAGAGTTAAAAAAAAAAAGGAGAATATAGAGAGAAATATAGATAAAGAGATAATAAATAGAGTCCCTTCTCGTTTGAATCTCGAACGACTTAGCGAACGGTTTCGCGTTCCAACGATATCGAAGGAGCCGATTCTGCACTCCGAATTAAACTTTTAGAAGAACAGGCATTGCGTTTGGACGACTTTCCGCGACGAGGCAATTTCGAGACAAACATGTTTACCGGGAGCGTTCGCTGAACCGTTCGAGACGTCGTCGAGAACGCGAAATGGTACCGTCGAGCACCGCTGTCAACGTCGACGTATAACGTCGAGCGTCGCGACGCGCGCGCTTCTCCGCCGAGAATCGCCGACGCGATACGATAAGAACGCTGAAGAGCTACGCACTCGTTCAAGTATACGATGCGTGTATAAATAATAGCGTGTAAACATACACGGTGAATCGGGAAAGAGACGCGAGACAAGCGGGTCCTGAAGGGCCATCTGACTACCCGCGCGATTTATTTACAATGCCCTCCTAGAGACTACTCTGGCGATTGCGAGGGATCTCTCGCTTCCTGATACCGAGGGACGGATACTGTTGACGACGTGTAGAAAATGTACCGTTGATTATAGTACCGCGCTGCGATGATCACGAAGCGTCACCAAGAGATCGACTCGCGATATTTATTATCACTGCGACGCGCGTTTCATCGATCGCGAACTGTTCGGTAGAGAAAAAAAAATGGAGAACGATCGGTGAGACGCGCGTTAGTGTAGCTTCCTTTCTCATTTATCTCTTCCTCTCGTTCCGTTTATCCATTTTCTCATTAAGTTCTGTTCGTGCTTTCCGGGCTTCTTATTTACATGATTCACTCAAAGATCCGCCTCGTACGATCGCATTCACGCATTCTCGATCGATAGATAGCGATCTAGTGCGCGATTAGACGCAACTAGACTAGACACGATGCTACCGTGATGGAAGAGGAGAGAGAAAAGAAATGCGATTTTTTTGTGCAACTTTCGACAAGGAGAATCTCCGACGTGTCACGAGTTTCGGATGAAATGGTGTCGCGATGCGGTATCCCGAAGTATTGCCGGTCGATTCGAGGTGGACGATCCTCTGGAGAAGGGGATTCCGTCGTCGTCCTCCTCTCCTGCGGCTGGTCCTTGTTTTGATTCTGCGCACCGTATATGCTGCCAGCTTCAATTGGCGACCTTGACGAACTCCGGATTCGGCACGCTGCAGTTTTCCGGCACGTACGCCGGATGTACGAAGCCAGTTCCGCCTATCGCGGCGTTCTTACGGTCCACAGCGCGCACCCTGACGAAGAGGAAGGCCGCCACCAGGGAGGCCACCACGACCACCAGGAGCAACATCACCAGACCGCCCACGAAACCAGGCAGACTCATACAGATCGTCTCCGGATCGGTGGACGCGCTGGCGTTTTGTATCACCACGGTGGTGTCGTTGCTGGAATTCGTTGTGCCCAGCGCGAAGTTGACGTCACCCGGCGCGACCACTTGAATGACCCTCGAGGTATTCACGTCCGTCATCTCCTGCGCCGCTCGTTTGTACACGTGGGTGGAGAACAGGGTCACCGTGTGATAGATATTCTGAAAATCGAGGATAACCGTTGTAATGTCGGAGAATTCGCGTCATAGTAGGATAGCAAACGGTACCATAGAACGCGTCATTGATAATGTATTCGCGATGAGCGTCGGCAAATTGGAAGTGGATACTTTACGTTAATTAAAAAGAACTGTTGAACGAATCTGAAGAAACTGTTTACTTTGCTCTCGCATTCTCATTATTTCAATATACAGAGTGTCTGACGTAAGGTGTCACACCGAAAATATACAAGTAGATCTTGTTATTTGGAGACAATTTTTTCTCAGCAAAAATATTGAACCAAGCCTTGTGAAGAGAAAATATATCAACAAAAACCACATCGTCCAATTAATTTTAAGTAGAGTTTACTTTAATAACATTTTAATTTAAGATTTAGTTTTACAGATACATGAAGATACAAAAATTGGGAACATGCAAAAAACGATGGTCCCCATTTTTGCTGAGGAAAAAAATGCGACAATTTATGACGGACACTCTGTATGCTACTAGTAAAAACAATAGATCCCAAAGCAATTAAAGAAAGGAAAAAACACTTACACTATCGTCGTCTTCCAACTCGTGCTCGCTGTGCCTTCGTCTCCTGGCGCCTCTGAGCTCGGCCGGGAAACCTTCGACCGACCTCGGTCGACCTCCGAGGATGGCTAGGTTACCTTCCAGCTCCTCCGTACCAGCGGTATCCTTTCGCTTCACAGTCTGGTACGCCGCCGAGTGGCCTGGTAGAGGAGGCGGAGGAAGATGGATATTGTCCTGGGGACTCTGGGGTGAGCTGCTCGCCGTAGCGTCGCCAGGCGTAGAGCTTGGTGAAGAGGACGAGGTCTGCGCTTGCGGCGCCGGAACCACATCTGGATTCGGTTCGCTACGAACAGAAATTAATTTGTTGTAATATTGTTTTTCAACGATCCCCTCTCATATTCCTGCTAAAGAAGAATCTTCTATTTTTATTTTTATCATTTTTTATATTTATTTATTTTTAAACATTCATTTATTATACGAATAATTAAATATAATATGAAACAAGTAATATAGATAATTTATTTTACATACAGTTTTGATAAATGTATATTGTAACATCATGTGTTTATGTTGGAAATTTTATTTCTCGATTTTCCCTATTATTTTAAAAAAATTATTGCTGCGTGGCGATATGAATTTGCAAGATACACTGTAATTTAATCTAATGTATATCTAAATATCTCTTTTTATATTTATGTCAGTATATTATATCTTGCTCCAAAATGTACGTGTTTTTGAATAAAATATCTCATAAAAGCATGCATAAAAATTATAGGAAAAATCCGCGCAATAATTCGCGTATATAATATTTTTGATCTCATAATATATTTTATACTTCAATATAATTTTTTCATATCTATAATAATGTTAATAATTGAATGATTAAATATTTTTCTAAATAAAATGGAATATTTTGTATAGAAATGATTTCGAGCGAGAAGAAATTCTAAATTCCTGACGCGATCTAACAGATTTCCTTTTGCGTTAGTTGGTAAATCTCAATGGACACTTCGCAGAAAAGCTTTCTTCAAACAATCATTGTGCTCTCTCTCACCTGTATGCTCCAGCCGGTCCGCTGGGATGTCGCGGATCCGGATAAGCTGGTGGCACACCGTATTCGGGCACAGGCGGGGCACCGTATTCCGAGGAAAGACCTTGCGAGACCGGTGCGCCATATTCGTGAGAAATGCCGGCGACAGGTGCGCCATACTCGAGACCAGGATGTCCACACTTAGGCTCGGGGCAATTGTATCGGCAAACTTGAATCACGCACTGGAAGTGGACGTTCATGCTGTCGGGAAACTTGAAGGCCTGGAAGTAGGCGAAGCTAACGACGGACGCGCTCGGCCCGAAGTTCTTGATCTTCTGGAATCTACAGAAAAAACCAGCCTCGTTAGTCTCGTCTCTCTTGGAAATTATCAATTCTAATTATATTATACGCAGAAAGAGAATTGGTTCATACATTTCTTACATTATTATATTTATTCTACACTTTTATATTATATTTCAACATTATTATAATAATCGGTACCATATTTTATGATAAAACGATCGTCAGCTATGTGTTAAATCAGACTCACCTGGACATAATCTTCGGCCTGACAACGCAACCGTACTGATCGACCAGCTGAATCGGTGCCCTCTTGCCGTCGTGGGCGACGCAATTTCTCACCAACATGTCGAACTTATTCTCGTCGTCCTTGATGGCCAGCACCATCGTCATCGTCTGACCGATCTTCACGATGCCGGACACCTCGCTGGCCCAGGGACCCTTGCCGACCTGTATCTGCATCCAACACTGCAGGTTGTCCCCGAGAAAGTTAGCCGTCACGGCGTGCAGCATATCGACCTGGAACGGCCGGAAGGTGACCGCCTTCTCGTAGAAGTCGTACCAGGTGCAACGCAGCTTCCTCGCCTGATCCCAGACCTCCTGGACGTACGGGTCGTATTGCACGATGATCGTGTTCTCCACGTAGCTGCCGGACGGCGTTGGGGCGCCGTAAGCCGCTACGTTGTGATTCGCTGACGAGCTCATGCCGCACGAGTTGAGGAAGATCTCGAAGGTCGCGCTAAGGTGGCCGGTCCCGGGTTTCAGATGCACGCAATGCGGATCCGAGTAGAAGCCCTTGCTGAAGATCATGCCGTAGAACGGCCGATCGAACTCGATGTTCACCCGCATGTGCGTTTTCTCGCACTGCACCTGTAGATGCTTGATCTGCGGAGTGTCGGGCGACGCCAGCGGCCAGTTCTCCTCGTGGACCGCCGGCGGGCCGTACTGAGCCGGGGCCCCATACACTGATCTGTGTTCCAGAGGTAGCGCGCTGCTGTCGACCAACGGTGCTTCGCTCCGTACACCCTGATAACAACAACGAACAGTATTGTTCTTGGATTATTTTTAAATTAGCTGGATGAAGATGAGATGGAAATATGATGGAAATTCAGCTTATTGTGTTAGATAAGATGATTAAATATATCTAGATCAAAGATAAAATTATGTGTTGTTCTTGGATTATTTTAAAATTTGCTGCATAAAGATGAGATGGAAATATGATGGAAATTCAGCTTATTGTTAGATAAGATGAATAGCTAGATAAAAGATAAAATTATGTGTTGTTCTTAGATTATTTTAAAATTTGCTGGATAAAGATGAGATGGAAATATGTAAATTCAGCTTAGATAAGATGAAGATGATTTTATTTTAAATATATCAAGATATAAAAGATAAAATTATTTTTAAGACCGCTTATGTAAATATAATTATTAAAAAAATGTATTTATATTTTAATAAGTTATACATTTTTATCGCTTATTATTAAAGTTGTACTACTTAAGTATTTTTATGTGCTATGACTCTAAATCAAATTATCTAAACATTATTTTAGATAATTTAATAAGGATAACACTTTTATATGAGATGCACAGATATAGATAATAAATATTTTTGTTACCTATATAAAGATAAGATGACGCCAAAATTCTATCTAGATCATCTATATAATTTTATTTAGATAACAGCAAATACTGAAGATGAATAATGCTTCTTGAAGCAACGATCAAGAAAAAAAGATGTTTTATTTAATTATTAAAATAATTGTTTACATCACGTAATCAAGATGCGTATAATTTTTCTAGAATAGATATAACTAGTCTTATTCTTTCGAGGTATACAAAACGCAGTTATTTGACTGAAACTTTTTCAATCTGCTTATCAAGTAAACAAAGATCGTGAAACGAATATGACACAATTGTGTCGCAACTTTGAAGAACTTATTCAGCTGCGTTGAAACAATTCCGAGAGACAAGTGCCCTTTTGGAGACCCTGCACGTACAAGTTTCGAAATCGCTCTGCGGTTCTTATAACGGGCATCCAACGAAAGTTTCGACAGAATCGCATTAAATCGTGACGGAAAGCAGAGCGATTCCCCGTCTTTTCCTCCGACGAAAACTCTCGACACACGCACCGGTCTTTCTGGAATTACAATGAATGACGGAATCCCTCCCTTTCGTCGTCACTCTTCATTCCCTCTTTGGTACGATATGCGGAAGCGAGGCTGTATTAGGAATTCCACGAATGTTTTCGGCCGTAGCGACCTTTGGCAACGGAATGCCAATCGAACGCGATTTACGGTGCACGAAATTCCGCAGCATCGAGGAAAGAAAGCACTCTGACCTTGAGAAAGGCGTCTCCGAATCCTCCTTAAAGTTCGTTACTTAGAACGAGAAAATCTGTTCGACGTACGTGAACAAGAGGTATTTACTCTTCCCTGTACATTCTCCTTCTTCCTCTCTCTTGTACAATCTTTATTTTTTTTAACCGACTAAGTTATGTACAAAAATCAATTCTAATGAAATATTATACTATACTCTCATTCTTAATAAATCAACTTATGTATCATTGAGCAGATTTTGAGTCGTAATAATACAAGTGTATTGTGCTATTGAGAAGATTATTTCTTCACTAACTATTTTTTTTTTTAGTAATATTCTCGTGATTATCAACAGTTCATTTGGACTTCAAAGAGCGGATTTTGAAATAATACAAGTGTATTGTGCTATTGAGAAGATTATTTACTAACGTGATTATCAACAGTTCATTTGGACTTCAAAGAGCGATCAATCAATATTAATTCTTACAACGTGCTCTGTAAATATCATCCGATCACAGCACACGTCACGATTGATATGTACACGTCCGAATCCGTGTCGTGAATCGAATGGTGTCGACACTTTTGTGCCGATACACACGAGGTACCGTATGTTAATAATGTTCGAAAATATGCTGACAAAAAACGTGACCGAAAACATGTGTACTGTTAGCCAAAGGAGGAGCATTCGTCGAGAGAGCAATCGAATGCGGGCTTATATACATGTTTGGAAGGCCGGCTCCCTCGGGCAATTTTGTATTCCGATTTGGCGCAGAGTTGCAGAAACGTAATTATACCTGCGTATATCGAAACAACTGCGTCTTCACTTCTGCCAAGGGAAATCGTTCTAAATGCAATTTTATTTCGTGTAGCAGCGTACCGCATTCTCTTACGCTTTTCCCAATTTGACACGCAACTCTAAACACATACATGCACACGCATACCTGTACATATATATATATACACTGCTTCGTCATTAATTTAATATCTAAAATCTAGCATTTGTAGCGTTTTCTATTTGATACGACACGAATTCACTCGTACACTATCACATTAACACGACTGAAAATAAATGTATAATTAACGTGCCGATCTAAGGATATCATAAATATATAGTCTCAGATAATATTTGCGTGCTAAGTTATCATGTTTCATTGTGCAAAAATTAAGAGGCGTGCGGAAAAAAAAATATATATATATAATACACACATTTATATGTATATATACACATTTATATATTTATAAATATATATTTAGAGATAACTGTATAAAATTAGATCGTTGTGTGCCAATTGCAACAGTTTTCATTATAAGCTAATTACAAAAACCAAACGCTCGCGTTTACGCATGCGTGATCGTAAACTAGATCGCATAAATCTTATAACAGTGTACAATTGATACAGTCATTAATCTTTAAACAACACGTAACATTAATTTGTATCTATAATTATTTCATCAAATATGTATGCACATTGTAATCGCGTCTAGTATGCGAATCACAAACCGCGAAAAGGATTATTTCCGAAACGAACGATTTTAGAGGATATTGTAAGAATTGATCGTTGAAACTTAATAGGAATCGAGTCGTACAATTATTTGAGAAAATCTTATCCTCCAATCTGAAGATAGAAAAATTCTATTTTCCTCTCTTGATCTCTTGCTCGCTTCGATAACACGGTTATAACTTCCCGGAAAAACCGAAGCAGTTATCCTCATGTACTGTAATTTGGAGAAGTTAACAGGAGACCCCAGATCGTTTTAATCATCGGGCGGTATCAATCGTGACAGTCGGCGATTCACCGAGCATACCTGTCCGTTTTCTTGTTCTACTTGCATCTACATTTCATCATTAGACTCGCGAACTACCTTCTAAATAGAAAAAAAAATACCGGTACATCGAAATCACGATCCGCTACACGGATTGTAAATTGTTTTCAACTTAGATAAATGCGACCAAAATCTCTTGTCTCCTTCTCTCTTTGACAGTTTGTCGATTTTTTCATGTATGGGAATAAGTGATATAGGTCAGAGTATATAAAATCCGAGCCAATTAGTCCGCTAGTTTTGAATGAATACTATATCCCGGTTATACTATATTTTTATAGCCAAAGTTAATTTTACTTTGTAAAAGTTTTCACCGTATACCCTCATTTTATTACGTCTTTCTGCCATCCTGCTAATTTTCTTAAGTATATAAATGGGTTAGAGATACGATTACAACTTTTGCGCGAATGGTGAAACGCTACTCTTAAATCTAACATTTAGCGAAAAATAACTTTCACGATGAATCGTTAACCTTAATATCAAATATAACTTTTCATGACGAATCGTTAACTCTAATAGAATCGTCTTCATATTAAGGCTGATAATTTTAACTTTAAAATGGGATGTATTTAAATGTAAATTCTATTCAATAATCGTATTAACAATATAGTACTTAAAATATTTAAGAAAAGATCAAATCATTTAGTAAAAATCTTTCCTCAGTGGTAAAAGTCGACCAAACTGGCAATCATTTATTGTAGATAATTAGTTAAAATACAACGTTTCGGCTGCCATTGCAGCCCTTTTCAAGTAAATCTATAAAAAGTTACATAAAAATAATTATAATTTTAATACATTTCACCGCAACAATTAATTATAAATTCATAAACAAAAAAATGTTACATACCAAAAGTAAATGCAAAATAAATTAATACAGTAAATCAAATTCACTGCATACCTCCGACAACATTCACCATTGTTTTAATGAACAATGTAAAATTGACAGAAGTAAGCAAGAAATAAAAAGATGTTAACAGTTAGCAAGAATCTTAGTCACTACGCTTTAAAAAATCGAGACAAAACTAATGTGTCTTTCGCAATCTAAAACCTCATAACAAAGTCAAATAAATAAATAGGTAAAAATAAAAATGATTTAAATAGCGTCGAGAATCATTTAGCTTGGAATTAATTTAGTAGAAAATTTAAACTAAATTGATTTAAATTTATCTTTTTTCTTTTTACGAGACATCCGAAGAAGGATACGTCGCAACAGAAGCCAGTCTGATTTCACTTTTCCATTGTCATCCGCCAAATGACAAATTGTTCCCGACTGGACACAACGAACCCGTGTACATACTTTCACTGAATCGCGTATGCAGAACGAGCATCTTAATTGCCGCGGATGTTACGGCTCGATACGAGACTCGTTGGCGACGATTTCAGAGGTTCCGCTTTAATCGCGCGCAATTTTACACAATAGCCGCTATTGGCCGCGCTGTTTAATAGGTTGAGTGCTACGGACGGATACCGGTGTCCGATATTTCACGATATTTTTATCTGCCTCGCGTATTACATACACAGCGAAGAGTCCGCGAATATCTTGACTTTCAAGGTTAGTATATATTAATTCGGGAAATTTATGTACGATGAATATTTAATATTTACATTTTAATATTTTTCTCCTCATCTGCTTAATGCAATATAGATACGGTATCGGGCACACACGCGTATTAGCATAATTTTAAAAATACAAAAAGATATTCGTAATTAATGTGCAATAAGAGGAGATAGGATCAAAATGATTATATTATCGATTCGCTTCTGTTTACATATTCCAATTATAAAAAAAAATTGTAATTTACGGGAGAGATGCACACACACATATGTGACGATATTGACGACAAACGACGGAATTTCTCTCGTTTAGAAAGCATCGCGTTTCTGCGGG